ACTGGTCCATATCCAACTCTTACTGTTTATTATGACAACACAATGGGTCTTCTACCTAGAGTTGTCTCCCTTTCCTTGCCCCTACATTTAAGATTTCCCCACTGACAGAAATTATGCCAATTCCTTAAAAGACAAACTGACAGCAGTTTGGAGTTCTAAATAACATTTTTCGATTTCCTTGTTACTTGGAGATATAAACAAAGTATTATGAAAACCCTCTCTTTGCAGGGCTTCCTCCCCCCTCCACCCTTCTTTCCTTTCTTCCTTCTTCCCTCCTTTTCTTCCTCTTTCTCTGTGGTACTGGAAGCTATCCCCACAGGTATTTCTTAGCAGTCTTGTGGCACCCATGGCAACACTGTTGAACTTGGACCAAAGTTCAAGAAAATGAGAAAATGGAAGGTAGGGTTGAACAGTAGTAGCAAAGGATAGCCAATTCACTGGCTCTGAGCATACTTGGTGTTCTGGTTAAATGTGTAACACAGGCCTTCTTTTAAAGCTGGAGTGTTCCTATGACAAGAACTTGGAGAAAGGCTATTGGAAGGATGAATCACCCTCATATTTTGCTGATAACCATTTCCTAATCCCGTAAAATACTTCTGGCCTGAAAAAGGAAGTGTTAACTTGAAAGTGGGTTTAAAAATAAACTTTGTAGAATCATAAATGGAAAGTACCCCAAATGTTAAGTTTTTAAAAAACCAATCACTCAACAATCTCCCTCAGCTTTAGAACTGGCAGGAAAGCTGGTGTAGCCAAAGAAATGCTCTGCTGAGAAAAAAGAGCACTTGCCTGGGCAGCAGTGATGCCATCTGATTGGCATTATGACTGGGCCTCCTTGGGTTTAAAGAGGGATTGCTTGAATCACTTTACATTCAGAAATAAAATCAGAGAACTTTATTCATTCATAACACATACATTTATTGAGCACCTACTTTATGCCATATCCTATACAATGTGCTTAAAATACAAAATCAAACATATTTGTCTGCAAGGAACTTATAGCCAAATGAAGGTAAGTTTAGAAAAAACCATGTCCATAAGAATGTTGTAAACGTCTGTCTATATAACTTTTCAGATCTGCTTTTTACCCATTTTTCCAAAAGCAATTAACAGTAAAATAGTAAAAACAATAAAGCCTCTGTGTTTAATTTTGGCTCAAGCAAATTGGCTCAAGCCTGTAATCCCAGCACTGTGGGAGGCCGAGGCAAGAGGATTGCCTGAAACCAGGGATTTGAGATCAGCCTGAGCAATATGGTAAGACCTCATCTCTACAATTAAAAAAAAAAAAATTTAGCTGGGCATGGTGGCTCACGCCTGTAGTTCCAGCTACTTGGAAGATTGAGGCAGAAGGATCACCTGAACCTAGCAGGTGGAGACTGCAGTGGCCGTGAGCATGACACTGCACTCTAGCCTGGGCAACAGAGTGAGACTCCAACTCAAAAAAAAAAAAAAATTGGGAGGCCTCTTGTTAATTTTAAGATGTACATCTTAGAGCAGACAAGAAATAGTGTTTCTCTAGCCCCCTGGCCTGGTGCACTTTTCATGACACCATGCCATGCTTCTTTAGAAATGGTGGCTCACAGCTCTTCACCCAGTGATTCCTCATTTCAGTACTGGCAGTTCCCAACAGTTCCCAAAAGCCTTACTCACCTCTTCAACACTGATAGAGCTCTCTGAAGGTCCTCAGTGTGGGATAGTTCAGATTCAATCTCTAGGTGTCATTTTTTTTTAAGTTTTAAAACAAACTCGACTAGAGAAAGAAGAGAGAAAAGAAAAGGAGACATGCCAGAGCTGGCAGGGGTGAGAGAAACCGCCCCTAGGCACCATTTTTAGAGGGTGCTTCAAAGCAGGACTCTTACTCAAGTTTTATTTTATCATCATAGTATGGCATGGTTTTTGAAATAACATCCTTTCTCAAGAAGCAAGCCTATATAATACCACGTAGTGGCCTCTCTGTTTCCATATTTCTACAGAATAATCTTTTACAAACGGAACTCATCATGTGTACCTCAGAACCGTCCAATGCTTATTGCTACACTTAAAAAAAATACAGATGTTGTATCCTGGTTTAAAAAATGCTTCTAGGCCAGGCACAGTGGCTCAAGCCTGTAATATCAGCACAGGGATTCGAGACCAGCCTGGGCAACATGGCAAGATCTGTCTCTACAATAAATCAACAATTAGCTGGGCGTGGTAGCGTGCACCTGTAGTTCTGGCTACTTGGAAGGCTGAGGTGGAAGGATTGCCGGAATCTAGCAGGTGGACAATGGGGTGGCTGTGAGCATGTCACTGCACTCCAGCCTGAGCAACGGAGTAAGAATCCAACTCAGACAACAACAACAACAACAAACCCCCAAAAACCCCTTCCTGAGCTCATCCCCTGCCAACCTTGGGAACTTCAACACACACATGCCATCTCTCTTTGTCCCCCTGTACTCCAGACCACTACACTGGCATTTTTTAGTTCCGTGATCATGGTCCTGCCAAGTTCATTTCTGCATTTCTGGTTTAGGGCTTTTTATCTTTTCTTTCTTTCTTTTTTTTTTTAACTAGCTGTTTCCTGAGTCAGGCATGCAAAGAAGCACTGGGCAATAACTTATTTTGGCCAAGGCATTCTGGTATGGGAGGAAAAAAAGGTGGAGGCACACTTAGGAAATGATGGATAGACTTCCAAGGCAGTAGTTCAGTAAAACAACAACAACAACAAAAAACTGGATATCACTTGAACTTGAGCCATTACTGTCAGGCTACAGTGCAGATAGTATTGAGGTCAGTTCTTTCCATTAATTCATGGGATGCCAAAGATCCTTTTTATTTTATTATTATTATTTTTGAGTTGAAGTCTCACTCTACTGCCTAGGCTGGAGTGTGGTGTCATACTCATGGGCACCGCAACCTTAACCTGCTGGGCTCAGGCAATTCTTCCAAGTAGCTGGAACTATAGGCATGCGCTACCACACCCGGCTAATTTTTTGATTTACTGTAGAGAGGAGGTCTTGCCAAGTTGGCCACGCTGGTGTTGAACCCATGGGTTCAGGCAATTCTCTCACCTCGGCCTCCAAAAGTGCTGGGACTGTACATGTGAGCCACCATGCCTGGCCTCAAAGATCCTTTTTAAAAAATTCTTTCCATTTTAACTGTCAGCAGCCAATTTGGAGAAACTACCATGTGAATCATCAGTTACAGGCTCTATTCATACAAACAAGACAATTAGAGATTAGTTGAAAGGATACACTAAGAAAAGATAGTGGAAATATTGTACTCTACAGTCTTATTTGTAATGGTGAAAAATGGGAAACAATCTAAATATCTATCACTATACAAATTCCCAAATAATTTGGGGCAAAATTATTTGATAGGATATTACATAGCTAAGCAAAAAGTCTAGCCATATGTCAACGAGAATAAAGCTCAAAAACATAAAGTTGGGATAAAAAAATCAAGTTGCAAATCTATACATGAACTATGGTAGCATTAATGTAAAATGTCAAGAGCTGATATTGCTTATAAATATATAGTAATGGTATCAGTACAGAAACCTAGATTGGCAAGATACATGTATATCAAATTCATGATCCTGGTTGCCTCACAGAAAGGTGGTAATAGCTTGGGACTGGGAATGGGGGCACCTGCCATATCTTAATGTTCTATTTTTTTTTCATTTAACGAATGAAATAACAAAATGTAATATCTGTTTATTTGGAAAGTGTGCCCTTAAGTGTTTTCTGTGCTTTTTTTTTCAAAACATTTCAGGGTTTTTTTGTTTTGCTTTTTTCAGTGGCGAGTGGTGGAAGAACCTCCCATCCTAGAAGCCAGGAGACTTGGGTTCCTCTTTGTTCTGCCTCTCTGGCATTGACATAGTCTTCAGATAGGGTTTCTTCCATCCAAGAACATGATTCTAAAACCTTCCCACCTCCAACCCCCACACCAGGAAGGCTACCCAGACAGGGCAATGAAACATGGACTTCTTCCCTCATTTAAGATAGACCTATAATGCCAGCACTTTGGGAGGCCGAGGTGAGAGGATTGCCTGAGTCCATGGGTTTGAGACCAGCCTGGGCAACTTGGAGAAATTAGCTGGGCATGGTGGCGTGTGCATGTAATTCCAGCTACTTGGAAGACTGAGGCGGAAGGTTTGCCTGAGCCCATCAGGTCGAGACTGCGGTGGCCGTGAGTGTGCCTGGGAGACAGAGTGAGGCTCCAACTCAAAAAAAAAAAAAAGAATTATCTTCCTTTTCTCTCTCGCTCTCCCCCTCCCCTCCCTCCCTCCGTCTTAACTTGCAATTCCTTCAGCAAAGTGGAAGTGTAGTGGATGGACAACCGTCTCTGGCGACAGACACTACAGGATTGATGAGCCTTTCTGAGTCTCAAATCCCATATTTCGAAAACAGGGATTGCAACACCTACCTCTCAGAATTGTAATGAGGTTTAGAGGTAATGTATGTCTACAGACTGAACGGGGTCGCTATTAGCAGTTGTAGTAACAGAATCTCATCTAGGGGGTCGGCGTCAGGGTCGCTGAACAGAATCGTGCATTTCAAGCGGCCTTCCAAGCCCAAGTTGGTTTTAGCGGCGAAAAGTCCGGACGACGAATCGAAAACAAGTAAGGGCCGGGCTCGGTGGCTCAGCCTGTCATCCCAGCACTTTGGGAGGCCGAGGCGAGTGGATTGCCTGAGCCTGAGGGTTCGAGACCAGCCCGGGCAACTTGGCGAGACCTCGTTTCTACAATAAATTTTTAAAAATCAGCCGGGCGTGGTAGCGCGCGCCTGTAGTTCCGGCTACTTGGAAGGCTGAGGCGGAAGGATCGCCGGAGCCCAACAGGTTGAGGCTGCGGTGACCGGGAGCGGCCACTGGACTCCAGTCTGGGCGACAGAGTGAGACTCCAACTCAAAAAAAAAAAAAAAAGTAAGGGACGGTTGCTACGGCGACACGCTAGTTCTTCGGGCTTGCTCGAATGGCATGCTGGGAATTGTAGTGCATGGGCGCTGAAACTCACCGAGGGAGGTGGGGCAGCTTCCGGAAAGGGTACTGCATTTCCCGTTCCTACCTTCACCGCCACCCATTATTGCGTCCTGCTTATGGGTTAGAGACCCAAAAGTGAAACGCCCGGCCATGTGTCCTCCTTCCCATGCCCACCGGAGTTATAGCTGAAGGCAGGACAGGGGCAGCAATGAGGTGCCGGGGGCGGAGACGGGGGCGACGCTGGGGGAACAGGAAGAGACGGGGCTCCCGCCTAGGGCCCGGAGGCTCCGCCCTTTCACGTCACTTCCGTAAACAAAGGGCGCTGCGTAGGCGCAGGTCCGGGGGTGTAACTCCGGCTCCAGCTGCGGCTGCGGCGGTGGCTTCGTAGGCTCTGGGGTCTTTGCGGGTTGAGAAACAGGGCCCCGATCCTCTTCTTCCTCAGGTATGTCGTGGAAGCGAGGAATCCCGAAACCTCCCTCTTCAGGCCCTTCCCACCCCCGACTCTGGTCACTCACTGCTGGGGTCCGGGCGGTGAAGGGTCATCGCTTCGGCAGATTTTGGGAAGGGGAATGAGGTGAAGTCACGAGGGATCCCTCTGCTTGGAGGCAAGACCTGGCACTCAAAACCGGTGTGTAACTAACTATGAGCAGTTTACGTACACCTTTTAAAAAATGTTTCGTGCTGCTTGGTGTACAAGAAGGAATGCGGTGCACTTGTGATCATTGTGACCTCCGAAAACGGAAAAATCTCAAGCCCTGGCTCCCCAGAACATTGTAGTTTAGAACATCACTGGAGTATTTGCATTGCTTTACTTTCTAGATTTTTTTTCATTTATTTATTTGTTTTTATCTTGGGGTCTCAGTCTGTTAACAGCCCAGACTGGAGTGCAGTGGCACGAGCACGGTCTCCTGGGCTGAGGTGATCTTTCCGCCTCAGCCTACTGAGTAACGGGGACTGCAGGTGAGCGCTACCACGTCTGGCTAAATTAAATTTTTATTTCTGTAGAGACGAGGGCTCCCTACGTTGCCTAGTCTGGTCTCGAACTTGTGGGCTCCAGCAATCCTCCCGCTTCAGCCTCCCAAAATGCTGGAATTTCGGGCGTAAGCCACCGCGCTCGGCCCTGCATTTTGGTGTGTGGTGGGGTTGTGGGGAGGGGTGTGTGTGTATGATGTGTACCAACAAATGTGTATTAGCATGGTTGAATTTAAAGGCCAGTGTGTTTATGTGTATCATAAATTTTTACAGATCCGTGCCTCTTCGGAGAACTGATATCTCATCGTCGATATTCGGTCATCTTTTAAAATTCCATTTAATTTGTGTTGCATGTTGAAATAACCGCAGAATGACTGCTTTGTTACTAAAAATGCTTCTTGTAGGAAAAATTGTTAGCCAAGGTTTAAGTGGATTTACAGTTGGTATCTGGGATTAGAAACCGGGCATTAGACCCTCTCCTGGAAAGCCTTTTCTTTTTTTTCTTTGTTTTTGAGGTATCACAGTTACAGCTGTGAATGTTTGGAGTTAGCCTGAGCCAGTTGAGCTCAGTGATTTAAATTCTGGTGCTGAGTCCAGACGATAGCAAAAAAAAACCTCTTTTGTTCAAATTCTCAAATCATTATGTTAAGAGTGACAGAAGTGGGTTTGAATCTTTTTTGAATGGTGATATCATGATTAAATTCAACACAACATGCCCCCTGCCCCAGAAGGCCTAATGTTCCTAAGGCAGTCTACACTCTGATGAGGTAAATAGCTATAAAAATTTCTCATCTTATGATACATGAGGCAATGGCATTTAGAACAATTTAACACTATGCACAAATAAAAAAGAAGCATGGAAGGTTTTTTAAACTAGAAATTAGTGTGTTAGAAAAATAAAGCTGGTTAATACATAAAGTAAGGGGAAGGTATAGGGATAAATAAGAGGCCTTACATAATATTCTCCATGGAAGGGCCCTCTGTAAATTCATAGTGTTCATTTTTTGGATAGGGGTAAAATCAAACATCGTGAAGGTTCATATTTTCTTTGGAATAGACGGAGAAAGTATATTCAAAATAGATAAAAAACGAGTTTGATTTTATAGAACTTCACTTGATCATGGCACTAGAATCCATATTAGCCCTAACAAGCCCTAAGCAGAAACCGAGTTTCTGCTTGGTCATTGAAGTAAGGCTACTAGTTAATGTTTAAAATACTGATGCTGGCCGGGCGCAGAGGCTCAAGCCTGTAATCCCAGCACTTTGGGAGGCTGAGGTGAGATGATTGCCTGAGCCCACAGGTTCAAGACCAGCTTGGGCAACTTGGTGGAGGCTTTGTCTCTACAATAAATCAAAAAATAAGCCAGGCATGGTGGCCTGCGCCTGTCGTTCCAGCTACTTGGAAGGGTGAGGCTGAAGGATCGCCTGAGCCCAGCAGGTCGAGACTGCAGTGGCCGTGAATGTGCCACTGCACTCCAGCCTGGGCGACAGAGTGAGACTCCAACTAAAAATAATAATAATAAAATAAAATGGTGATGCCCCGACAATTATACATCTGTGTGAATATAGTTGTTTTTTCCTGAGAATACATTTTGAAAGAGACACCTAAAGGCCACCTGAAGCTTGAGACAGGCTGGGAATATTACATGGATTTGCTTGTTGTTTATATATTTTTTCCCTATAGTTCTTTCAGGGCAGGGACTTTGTCTTGTTCAGTTCAGTCTCCCCAGTACTCATAATAGTGCCTGGCTTGTGGAAGAGAGTCAATAAACATTTGTAGGATAAGTAAAGAAAATTGTAAAACTAAAAAAAAATTTTTTTTTTTGTATACCAGACAATTTTTCTAAGGGCTTCTGTATACCTAGTAAAGTAGATTAAACTTAAGAGAGCCTTTTTCTAACTTTCCCTTTTTTTTTTTTTTTTTTTTGAGGTGGAATCTCACTCTGTCGCCCAGACTGGAGTGCAGTGGCTGCTCCCGGCCACCGCAGCCTCGACCTGCTGGGCTCCAGCAATCCTTCTGCCTCAGCCTTCCAAGTAGCTGGAACTACAGGCGTGCGCTACCACACCCGGCTAATTTTTTGATTTATTGTAGAGATGAGGTCTCACCAAGTTGTCTAGGCGGGTCTCGAACCCGCGGGCTCAGGCAATCCACTCACCTCAGCCTCCCTCCCAAGGTGTGGGATTACAGGCTGAGCCACGGAGCCCAGCTTCTAACTTTCTCATATGACCTCTGAAATACTTGCCCTTTTTCAGCCTGTGAAATGGGTCTTTGAATCTCTATCATTTGTGCATCGTTGGCATACATATATAATTACTGTTTTCCCTTCTTTAGGTCTTAAGAGGCTGGCCCTGGAGCAATAAGGAACTTAAAACAATGGAAGAGCGAAAAGTGAAGAGGAGGAGTCCTAAGTCTTTTAGTGCCCACAGTACTCAGGTTGTTAATGCCAAAAAAAATGCTATTCCAGTTAGTAAAAGCACAGGCTTTTCAAATCCTGCATCACAGTCAACTTCACAGCGACCAAAGTTAAAAAGGTGAGCTCTTTCCTTTCACATTTTCATGGTAAATGCCATTAAAGTAAATCCCAATTCAGTTTCTTCTTAAAACTTTTTTTTCTCTTGGCATGTCTTTTGAAACAGTTGAGGTACTCATTATTTGTGAGTTTGAAAAAAAATGTATGAAAGTTACAGGGTATAGAGCTTAGAAAATGCAAAATGAATTATTGACTTGAAAGCCCTTACTTTGTATCATATTAAAATGGACAGATTCGTGACCCGCCTGGGCAGTGAGACCTCATCTCTACAATAAATCAAAAAATCAGCTGGGTGTGGTGGCGCATGCCTGTAATTCCGGC